GTATTGGGAATTATTCTCTGTTTCTATGTCCTTAACAGCAGGCTAATAGCTGGCATGTAGCAGCTGAAACATAAAAACATAGGAGCAGGATGAATAGACCATGAATCTAGGCTTAAGCAATCTTTTGGACCCTGGACACCATTGTGCAGTCTTGTTCTGAACCCCCTGAATTACCACAGCCTTGGAGGATTTCTGCATTCTTGTGTGAAAGCTCTCAAGAATTTGGTATTCTTAATGAAATTACACATAAGATATCAGAATCCCACAGCATTTTGAAACCATCCATGCTTTCAGTTTTGTTTTGTTTTTTAGTTACTGTTCTCAGGCATTATGATATTGGATTATGAGCAGCAAGACAAGTCTCAGTCATGAAAACAAACTGGGTGACTTCAATCCAGTCACTCTTTCTAAGGTTAACCTACCTCACAGAGTGGTTAGTGTAGGAAAAATAGGATGGGGTGCTATTTATCCTGCCTGGAGTTCCTGACTGAAAGGAAGGATATAAATCTAATCAATAAATTTGGAAGCAGGTAAACAAGGAACCAGTTCCAACTGCCCAGAGAAGGAAGCTACTTCAAAGTCTCCCTTGTTCCTTAAAAATAGAATGCCTCTTAGGGCCTGGATTAAAAGAAGGACTTCAAAAGCTGAACAATATTTGCAGAAAAGTTTATATGGAAAAGAACTTGGCTGCATGAAGGGCAATGACCACTTGAAGTGACCCGTTTTCCATGGTGAATTGCAAAAGAATGTGGATTAACCTAATTCCCTGCTCTTTACTGATGGTAGCACATTTATGTATTCTGAACTGGTTTGTCTATAGCCAAGAAAAAGATTCTTCATATTCAGCTAAGAACTTGAGATGTATAACTCACACTCTTGATAAAGTTGACTGCACTTGGACTATGGATGCTGGAGATGACTCCCAACTTATTCATGAATTCTGTTACAACATCAGTTTCTCCAATCCAGAATGTTCATTAACTAAGGAAAAACAGAAAACACTTGCATTAATTGTATTGGACTGTATGTGGATTGAGATAACCACCTTAAATTCATCTGGGAAAATGGGGGGGGGGAACAGTTAGAAACACATTTCTGCTGCCTGAGAAAGACATTTTACTTGTTCCTCTGATGCCTCATATTCATAGACTGACTCCAGATTTTTTAGCTGACACATTGATTCTCGAATGGTATGATGGAATTGTATGATTTTCCCTACAAAATTGATTGTAGTTGGCAAATCTAGATTCTACATAAAGTTCCAGTGGAGGAAGTAGCACTAGAGACCTATAACACTAGATCAGTTGGCAGCAATGACACACTCCTTCATTGGGAATGGGCATCAGATTCGCCTTTTAATTGCACTGCTCACTACATTAGGCTTTGCTGTTTATTTCAAGAGAAAGCCTTTGCTGGGAGGAGGATGTGGAGTGAATGGAGCCCACTTGCAAATATTTCAGGATATGATATAGGCAATGTCACAAAAATGTACCTTTTACATAAAGTGATGGCAGCAGGTTCTAATGTGACTTTCTGCTGTATGTACAAAGCTAGACAAACGTCATGACCCTTAATTATGGTTCATGTCAATGTCTGCAATGTGAGACTGCCCCTCTCACCAAGTCGAGCAAGTCACTCTTTGTGCAAAATGTTAGTCCTGCCCTTAATTCTGAATTTAATACCTGGTGTACAACTTGTTTCCTTTGCTGGAACAGTTTTATTTGTGGGCTATCCTCCTGATGTTCCACAAAATTTAACACAGAATGATAGGAAAATAACAAGCAGATGGGAGAAGGGAAGGCCCACCTTATTATACGGCTCAAGACAAACTGGATATGTCTTATTTGAACAAATCTCTGGAAAAATATCTTGTGTTGCTAAATTTTATCAGTGTAATTTTCTGGTCCTGAAGAACTGAATTCACACTACATGCTTCTAATAATCTTGGCCAATCAGAAGCTTCCCTTTTAACTGATCTTAGGCACGGAGTTTACCCGTGAACTCCTACAGAATTAATGGTGAGCTCAATGTTTGTGGTTTGTATATACTAATGTTTATAATATTTTAATTTGTTTTAATAATGATTGTCTATATTTGTATAATGATTGTTTTTATAATGACAAATTTATATGTAAATTGTTTTTACATATTATTGTTTATTTGATTGTTGTACATTGCCCAGAGTCACTTCTTGTGAGATGGGTAGCTATATAAATTTGATGGATGGATGGATGGATGGATGGATGGATGGATGGATGGATGGATGGATGG